TAGTCCCCCCAAAATGCCCGCGCCCCCATTGCCTGTGTAGGGCAACAGCCTCAGAGAGTTGAAGTAAATGCTGCAATGCTGAAGAGAGAGCAGGATTCGAACTAGGCTCGTTGGACCACGAAGCCCATTCCCTGCGCCCAGGCCTCCGGGCTCCTGCGTGTGACAGGCAATCCCAGGAGGAAGACGGGTTTTCGGCGAGGCTTGTTTCTGAGAGCTGTGGCTTCCTCTCAGCCGGGACCGTCCTGGGACAAGAGGAAGGTTGGTGGGGGGGTAGGATGGGGAGTGGGCTTCCTCCTTCCCCCACTCAGTGACAGCTGCTGAGCCCAGGATAAAAGCAAGCCTTGAAAGAATCAAATTCAAATCTGGGCAAGTCAGACCCTGGAGGATGTGTGCACAGGGCAGGGCCTGTGGGAGCTGCTCGGCCACCCGCCAGCTCTCGCCCCAGCTACCCTCTTTGACCCAGAGCGGCAGTTGCGAAACCACCGTCCCCCCACCTAACCCTCCGCAGCCAGGGTTTGAGGAAGGAGAAAAGGGCCACCTAGCCAGGACAACACATTGCTTAACAGCCCAGAAAGGAAGCCACTTCCTCGGGTCACATGTGTCCCTGCTGGTAAGTCCTGGACAGGGTCTTGCCTTCAATGCACATAGTGAAGCTATTGGCACTGTCTTCATTTAGAGTTAAAGGTAAGAAGACAATATTTTTTATTTTTTGTAATCCTCACCTGAGAATATTTTTCCATTGATTTTTAGGGAGAGTGGAAGAGAGAGGGAGAGACAGAGAGAAGCATCGATGTGAGGGTAACACATCGATTGGTTGCCTCCTGCGCGAGCCCTGACCAGGAACCTGCAACCGAGGTACGGGAGACCGGTCAGAATCCAACCCAGACCCTGCGGGCGGCAGGCCGATGCCCTAGGCAGAGCCGAACTGGCCAGGGCAAGGAGTCGGTATTTAATGACCCTTGGCCCTGGCTGAGCAAGAGCAAGAAGAGGCCTCCGAGTGGAGACCCCAGAACAGTGGGAAAGAGAGGCGCTTCTCGTGGGTGGTGATGAGAGGGTGCTGATGGTGAGAGTTAGAGGACGCTTTGCAAAGGTAGCTCCACTCGAACTTGTACCAGAAGCAGAGGAGCATGACGGCCTCTTCGCCTGCCCTGACAGCCCAAGGGGAGGACGGGAGACAGGACGAGGAGGGGCCCACAGGAGGCGAGAGGAGACGTGAGCTGACCCCAGGTTAGAAATCGGAGCTCAGAACCAGAGATTTTAAAAACTAACCGTAGTGAATCTTGTAATGGTAACCAGAAGGTATAGGGACCTCGCATTTCAGACCAACAGTTAAGTTGATGGCTACTTATCTTGGCAACCTGTGGGTGTCGCTTCTGAAAGAGACAAATGTCCACGCTCCACCCGGGACTTTCGGGGGGCCTCTGTGAGGCTCCGCAGAGCCACCAGCCACTTTGCACCCAGCCCGAGTTAAGAAGCACTGGTGTGCCCAGCTGGCGTGGCTCAGTGGCTGGGCATCAACCTATGAACCAAGAGGTCAGGGTTCAATTTCCAGTCAGGGCACATGCCCAGTTTTGGGTTTGATCCCCAGTGTGGGCGTGCAGAAGGCAGCCCATCGATGATTCTCTCTCTCTCCCTCTCACTTCCTCTCTAAAATCAATTATGTGTGTGTGTGTGTTTTAAAGAAGCGCTGGCTTACATTTTAGAGGTGTATTCATACCCCACTTCCAACCCTCCAAAACTTTCCCAGTCCCCTCGGCTGACTCCGGGTTCCACTCCTCTCGCCCAGCCAGGGGACGACGACAGGATGACATCACAGGTCACATTTATTTAGGGACGATGTGCCGCAGGAAACATTCGGGTTGGTTTTCACTGTGATTCTTCCCAGGATCACATTCAACCTGAGGGATGGATCGGATGGGGTGCTTGCTGCAGCGGGGGCAGCTCCAGAGGGCCCACGTCTGTGGCCATCTTCAGGCTCTGGCCGGCCAGGGAGGCAGGACAGCTGGGGGGCGGGGGGGTCTGCATGGCGGGGACAGGGACAGGCCGCACAGGGGCGCTTCTGCCTCAGAAAGGTGAGGGGACTCTTCGGGGCATTCCCTCGGCCCACTTTTTCTCAGGCGGGTAATTCAGTGCTGAAGGCCACACTGGGTGCTGCAGGGAAGGGAAGGAAGGAGCACAAAGCAATTTGTGAAACATATTTCAATCCTAACAGTCACCCCGTCCGGAGCTCTTTGCGCCCATCCGGCCCCACCCAGGAAGTAGGTAATATTATTCCCATTTTAAGGATGAGAAAACTGAGGGTCAGAGATGCTAAGTTACCTGCCCAAGGTCACCTTGTTTCTCAGTCAGAGTCAGGATTTGGACCTGTGGGTCAGCCCAGCTCCAAAGCTGTGATCTTAGCCACTTTGCTGTACAAGCTGAGACAGGGACCCGGTATGGGGCCCCTTCGTTTACATCACCTCAACAACAAAATCAAAGGTTCTGTGTTACCCCTGCTCCCTGCCCTGCAGGCGGAGTCCGCCCCGAGCTTATTTCATTGGCGCAGTGTTGTACAACGACCTGACCAGCCTGACAGCCCGGGAGCTGGCGGCCCATTTTAAGAGGACAGAGGTGCTATTTCCCGCAGAGTTTAAATTATAAGCACCGCTCCAGCCAGTTGCGCTCAGTGGATAGAGCATCGGCCTGTGGACTGAAGGGTCCCGGGTTCGATTCCAGTCAAGGGCACGCACCTCAGTCGCAGGCTCCCGGCCCTGCTCAGGGGCATCAGGAGGCAGCCAATCCATTGGTGTTTCTCTGTCTCTCTCTCTCCCGCTCTTTCTAAAAATCAATGGAAAAATATCCTCAAGTGATAAAAGTAAAAAGAAAAAAAAGAAAAAGAAAAAAGTAAAAATAAAAGAATAAATTAGAAGCACCTACCACTGAACCTGGGCAGGGAGCTTCGAAGACAATTCGCACCCACCTCCTCCCACAGCCTCTGTGCACCCACAGGGCAGGAGCCAGGGCGGCTGCGTCAGCAGGTCTCAGGGCGGCTGGGCCGGAGGTCCCTGCAGACCACACGGCAGGTCACAGGGCAGTGATGGCCGAGGGGGGTGACTATGTCCGACTGCGGCTCCAGAGAGGAGCTACTGTTCCAGCCGTTGGCACCAGGCCCGGCCCCGGCCTCGCGTCCCTAGAGAGCCTCCCGGCTGTGTCCGCGGGGAGG